CATGACGTATATCTTGGATCTCATAAAAATCTATTTTGTCGGCGGTTTTCTATATAAACCGTCGTGGTTATTCTCAATTCTTGTCATTAAGTTGGTCTACCGTCGTAGGATACCAAAATCCAAGGAATAAATAGTAAAAAATAATGTAATTAAGACGACCGTTTAGGTATAAGGGTAGACGTATAAAGTGAATAAATACGACGGTAATTTTAACTTCACGACGTAGTAAATTTTATTACACGGCGTTAATTGAACAAACCAACGTGGTTAGAGTTAAAGATATCGTCGTAGTATGGAACATGAAATAAGTCGATAAAATTATATTTTACGTTGTTGTACATGTATTTAAGACGGCGGTATTTTTTAATATACCGCCGTGGATTCTTTTGAAATTATGCGACGCCGGATATGAAAACTTGATCGTGGTTATTTCGGAGAAAATACGGCGGCTGTTTCTTTAAACCGTCGTATTTACTTTCTACGTCGGTGGATTCATACATTCTGCTGTTGTTTGTTGGCTCCGAGTTTACTCTGTAGAAAACCTTTTTCAATAAGACGTCGCTTTTTAAAATAGGTGTGTCGTGTTTTAAAAACAATCATTGGATTCCTCATTTTTTAGGTGTTTAAGTTATTCTTACACGGTGGTTTTATAAAACCGTCGTCTTTTCAAATACAACGACGGTTTTCCGTTAAACCGTCGTTTTTTTTTGTCGTCTTTTTCACTTTTTTGTAGTAGTGTTTCTACAACACAACATCCAACTCCTCCACTTCCTTCACCATTCACTAAGCAACAATGTGGTTGGTTGGTTTGCAAGGTTAACTTATTTTGGGTTTTAATTGAATTAACTTTAGATTGTATTTTGTTTTCATTTGAGTTGTAAGGATAATTAAATTTGGTCTTCAATTTTTGTTCATTTGGGTTGTAAGTTTAATTAACTTTTCATTGCACTAGTGACTAGTCTATGATGGATTGGATATGTGATGATGGTTTGATATGCGATGATGCTTTGCTCTCAATGCGAAATTCTATGGTGAAGATGTCATATATAGACTTCTCATGTGGACCTTCATATTAGCTACATGATTATTTCATTAAACTTAAGTGAAGTTACTATTAAAATGAATCATGTGACCTTCATATTAGCCACATGATCGTTTCATTAAACTTAAGTGAAGTTACTATTCAGATGAATTATATGGCTAATATAAAGTCCACATCTATAGTCCATATATGACACCGTCACCACAGAACGACTATGCTTAGAATGTGTTAAAATGGATCAGAAATTCAATGCTTAAACGTGGCCTAAAAACTGGTCAGAACCGAGTGCTTCTATAGTGAGTGGAAAGTTATAAGGGGTGTTTTTGAGGGGTATCTAAGAGCCGTCGGATAAAATCCAATGGTGAGTTTTCAATGTTGTCTTTTTGGTAAAACCGGGTTGAAATTACCCATACCAAAAGAGGCAATCCGAAAGTGCAGAACACGCTCTTTCATCATTAACCCTCCTTCCTCGCCAGCCACCCACTCTGTAATATGTTATTCTCTCTCTCTCTCTCTGTTGCCATCTCTGGTTTGTGGTTATCAAAGAACCAAAATCCGTTCAATAAATATCTTGCAACCAACACAGACACAATGGAGGGTTTTGAGTCTTCTTTTATTATTGACACTTTATCACCTCAAAAATTCATTTTCTGACGCCCAAGTTCTCCTAATTCCTCTCCTCTCTCGCACTCTCCCAAATCTTGCCTCAGCTTCAGCTCGCCAGCCATCTCGCTACTGTCCAATCCCGTTCTCCACCCATCCATCGTCATAACCTAGCTCTCCTCAAATTCGGAACCCTAGTTTGACCCTAACCAAGCCGCCGCAACTCACGACCTCCGTCGTCGACCTCCACCGTGAAGCCACAGTCGCGACCTCCATCGTCGTTCTCCACAGTGGTGAGTTCTGATATTGGTTTTGTACTCTCTGTCTGTTATAAATTCGTTGATCCCCCTTTCTTTATTATTGCAACAGTAGGGGCATTCATGGCGCCGCTCCAGCCTCATCTCCTTTGCTCTCTAACTGTTAGTTCTCTTCTTCTCCGTCTTCAAATTTCAGTACTCCTCCTGACCTGAACCACCTACTTCTCTGGTTCTCTTCATCTTCATGTCATTCAATTTCAATTTTTTTTTCCTTTCTAAATTCTACTTTTGGGGTTTAGGAATTAGGGATTCAGTTGGGCATTTAGAACTTAGGGATTAATTTTCAAAATTCTAATTTAGGGATTCATTCAATGCCTAATTTATGAGCTTTGGCTTTATGAATTATGAAGTAGACTACTTGTTTTTAATTGATCATTGGTAATGGTATTATTGTAGTTTTTAATTGATCTTTGCATATTTCAGATTTTAGCCTTACAATTTTAGTGGCTGGGCAGCTTGCAATTTTGTGTGGACAGGTTATTAAATTCTTTTAGTATTAATGGAAGTTGTGTTACTAAATTACCAGTACCTATGCTCTTGGTTGACATGGTTGTTATGAATTGTAAGATTAGCTTACTATTCGATGGACCCACTTGCTGATATTAGGAAATGGAGGTATTAATTGAAATGAATGGGAATCTGCTTGTTTCTTATGCTATTAGATTTTGTGTGAGTGTGATGCTAATCAGCCATTAAAATACACATATTTTGGTGTTAATATTTGAAGTATTGGAACATGGGAAAGTTGAAAACAGGCATCTTCATGAGATGCTTGAGCAAGATTTGAAGTATTGCAAGAGCATTAAGTAGACCTCCTTTGATATGGCTTGCTGTAGAATGTAACATATGGATCTGAATTCCTTGTTCTGAAGGTGCCCCTGTAGATTATTTGTTTCAAGTCATGATTCTCTTACACCTATATAGAAACATAGGATTGGTTTGTTTTTATTTTATCTGGAATTGTTTGTTTTTTAGAAAATGGAGAATATTGGACTGCTTCAGAAAATTGTGGTTGTTTTGTTCACTATTGCCTTCTTTAGGAAGCTTATATAAAGTACATGTGGAGCTTCTTAAGTCAGACAATTCCATATTGGCCCATTTTTTGCCAAACCATCTGCTGATTTTTTAATGGTTCTTGTTGTTCCTAATCATGTTCCCGTAATATCACTTTTTGCAGGGCCTTCATTGTGTCTGGAAGGTTGGTTCCAGCTAATGATGTTCTAGCTACACTGTATTCTCTACCAGATAAAGTGGTAGATACTGTCGGTATTACGTCATTGCCATCTGAAGATTCTATATTTGAAAGGCGAAGGAAATTGGACTTCCTTCATATGCAGGAAGAACTGATGAAGGTTGGAATATTTTTTCTTTTATCTTGATAGCTTTATAGATATCTATTGGTGCTTTAGGAAGCTGCAGAACTAAACTTGCTAATCTGTATTTCATCAGGAGGAAAATAAGTGTGTATTTTGTTAAGCCAGTTTTGATGCATTTGTTTTGGACTTGGCTGAAATTCGGAATCCAAAAAATAAAAATAAAAAAAGGATGAGCAATCAAATAATAATGTTGAAAACAAAACTCCTGAAATCAATATTATGACTGTCATCCAGAGATTCTAAATTATTATATTGCAGAAGGAGGAAGAGAGAGAAAGAAGAGCAAGCCAAGATGAAGGAAATTAAAGCCAGTGAAGAGGATTTGGCATTGAAAGAGATGATTATTCCAACAGCAAAAGAAGCACGAGAACAAGCAAGGGCAAGGACACTAGAAAAGGAAGAGAAGATCTGCGAAATAAGTTGTGCATTGGCTGTTTTGGCTTCTGCATCTGTAAGGACTGGACTTAATAACTCTCAATGATTATGATTGTTGATTTTTCATTTTTCATTTTCCAAATTTTCAAGCACTATCATCTACACTATGGCTTAACAGTTTTTAATTTTTTCTGTTATTGACTCATTATTTCAGTCAGTTAGTAGGGAGCGTGAAGCGTTCCTGAGACTTGTCAATTTGGAGGTAATTTAAAACCCTTAATTACTCCTAGTTTATATTAGGTATCTATTAAGATGGAAGCATTTATCGTTGGTACCCTTACCATAGGTATGCATGGCATGCTAGTCTTCTCATGCTCGATATATGCAGACGCATTGGAGGTTTAACTGCTTACAGTTTATCAGGAGGACCGTACATCACAAATATTGTCTGCAGTTCTGATTTCCATGTTTCTGCTTGTACTGTGGATGTATTGGAAGAATTTGGATGTTGATGTCCACTATGCTTTGGCCCCTTTTAGTTTGAAGGATGTGTAGATTGACGACTTTTTAACTTTTAATGTGATTTACTTATGAGCTGTCTTCTACACATTATGTGAATGCATGCAACTCTGTCTTCAGCGTCATGTTCAAGTCAGAAGAATACTTCTGTATGTTCTTGTTTGAGTCCAAATGCATTGTCTTTGGGAATATTTTGCTTAAGTTGATTCTTTTGATCTTTCCAGATTGAACTTTACAATGGCATGGTGGAGAAAGAGGGTACAGATGGTGAAAAGGATGCCTTGAAGGCATATAAAGTTGCTCATGATGAAAGTGACAGTACTTCTGTTGAGGCTGAAGGTGACGAGGTTTCATCAGCGCTTATAGACAAGGTTATATATGAAATTCTGAATTATCTACTTTTAACTTACTTACCCCGTGTTCACTTGATGGATTATCGTATCTTCTATGTATCAGGTGGATGCAATGCTTCAAAACCTTGAGACGGAAATTGATTATATATGCGCATATTGGTGATCTCTGGCAATTACTTGACTGGTGAACTCGTCTTGTTTCGTCTTTGGTTTTCTTTTCCTATGAGTTCTGTTAGAAATCGTACTTCCTACTGAATGGAAGCAATCCTTCTTTTCTTGTCTTTCAATCTGTAGTCGGTTTGAGTTGTTATTAAACTCATTTTGAGGGATACTAGTAATGTTAAACTTTGATGGATGGTACTGCATTGGAATTTTGTCCATGTAATTAAAGGTATGAGGTTTACAATATGTGTGCATGGATTTTGATGGGAAAGTAACTCCTAATGAGGTTGCAGTTGCTCCGAACTACTTGAATTATACTTTAGGCAAGGAGGGCATCCAAGAACTCATAGGCAACCTTTCCAAAGATAAAGGTGAGTGAATTTTGTTTACACCGTATATGTATAGGAATCTAAATCTAATATGATGATGATGATTTTTCCTTGAAGTTAATTTGATTGATTGATTCATGAAGATGATGATGATGATGAATGTTGTTATCTTTGTGTGTGACAGATGAGAAAAATCGTGTGGAAGATATTGTGAAATTGGGCAGCCGGACAGAAGATGCAAACCAAGCTGAAGATGAGGGAATAGGGAATAATATATATGAGTCACTGACTGACTTTATTCATGATATATATATATATATATCTGAGACTCTGAAATGGTTGTGGAGTGGATTTGGTTAAATCCACTCTCTAGGTTTTGTTTTTCAATATACACGCAATGCAACAAACCAAAATTGTATAGCACATGGTATGTTACTTATGACTCACGTGTCAGTTTTTTGAGAAAAAGTACGCGCTATGGGGCTTTACTGATTCCTAACTCGCTGTGATATTGACTGCTTATTGAATAATATTTCAATATTTGTGAAATATAATGTTAGATAGAAGGAACACATGATGACTCGCAATATATAGTCCCAATAATTATATATGAAGCAAATGAAACTGATATTTGTCTTATTTTAAATTAGATAATGACATTAAAGGAATATACTTCTAATTTGTGCAATACTACGATCACCCCCAACCAACTGAACAACGGTAGCCGCAATCACTTAGTCGTATTGGTCGGCTTCTTCTGAGCAGCTTTGACGTGCTTATGCTCATTCATGTCACCACCATCGTCTAGTATCTCTCTCACAGCATCAAGAGACACATAGTCCCAATTATAACTTATATGAGTAGTTGCCACAAATGCTCGGAATTTTTCGAATCCTTCGTTGAATGCCAGCTCCAGTTCACTGTGGTGCTCTTCGCATTGCATATAGTTCATCAAACAACCTTTAATTTCATCATTCATTACTGTATCCAACTCCTCAGCTTTCAGCTTCCTTTTATGACTCAACTTCAAGTACTTGTTCTTTTGGGAGAACGCTTTGTTCACTCTAATGTTAAGATCAGCCAAAATGGCCTCGTCTTCAACACATTTCTCGTGCCATGAATTGATCAGTCTGGAATTATAATTCAGCTTGCTATTGACTGCATGTATTGCTTCTAATGGATCATCGGAGTCCCCTTCACTCCCAAATGATGTTGAAAATGGAAGGGGTCGGAGAGTACAACGTGGAAATGGAACCTGTGACTCCAATTTTTCATCTTCGATTGTGTTGTTGGCGCCTGAAGAGGTTGACATGCTTGAATAATCCTATTTGTTTTAGAGGATGAGGATTGCACATGCAATTTCGTTTGAGAAAGGGAACATAGCTTTATAGACCAACATACCAAAGCTTGTGTGTAGTCAACATATGTACTTTATTTAAATTTTAAAAAAAGAGGTGCCAGGTTTAGCTTTTCAAGCATGTCAACCTCACAGTCTCCTTACACCACTGTTAGTGGTTGAAAGAAACTCAATGGAAGTGACATCGAGTTAGTGAACCCAACCAAACTAGTTAGGATTAAACTTAGATTGTATCAGACCAAAAATTAATTTATACATTGTCAACCAAATGTTTTTTGGCGGGAACCCTTTTATTGGTATTACTATCACCCCTTTCATAGAAATTCTCCCTCCAAAAAAACTCACTCCTCCACCGAATTTGTCTCCATCTACTGAAACTCTCTCCTCCACAGAAACTCTCTCCCCCCATAGAATGGATTTACCAACCAAGTTTGATGTGAGCATAATAAACACCCCTCCAAACAATGTTATGGCATTATTTTGTACTAGTTATATATATTATTTTTTGTACTGTTTCATCTCCTACTATTGCTTTCTTTCTTTATATTATATGTTTTTGGAATCCCTCTCAAAGTTAACATATACTGCAAAAAAAAATGCAGAGTGAATATATAATCACTCATATAGACTAGGACAAATATTCACTAATATTTTAAAATTGCTTGATTGGTGTGAGTTTTTTCATAAAAAGTATGGCATTATTTTATGTGATTGGACATGACAAAAAATATATTACTGATTCCCAATGCGGTGTCATATGGACAACTTATTGAATACCTCTGACGTAATATGGACAACTTATTAAATACCTCTGACGTGTTCAAAGCTCTAGGCGCAATTGCAATGATAGCTTTAAAGCAGTGTGCAATTATTATATATATGTACATTATTACAACAAAACAGATAATTTTACATCCTTATATATGAAAGCAAACCAATTCTTATATTAGTACAAGTTATATAACGAATATTAAGGAAATATACTTGTTAAAGTGAACAAACATATATACTTAGGGTTAAGAGGAAAATGAGTTATGTGAAATAATTTGGATTTTTTCATTGCGAAACGGATGATTTATAGGTTCCCCTAGTTTCATAACGTCACAAGGAGGCCGGAGTAATTTTCGTGGAATTTTTAGGATTTTCCTACTATTTATTACCTTTTTTCAAAGATTTTTGCTCTAAAAAAGCCAAAATAATTGCAAGAGGACACCTGGCGCGATCTTAGCCCATCACCTTTCACCACTTGCACAAGTGTACGTTAGTCAACATAGCCACATCCTTGCCTTCTATCATAAATTATTATTTTATTACTTTTTCTTAGAAAATTCATAACTAAATACACAAAAATTAGAAAAATGATCCGAAAATTGCTACGAACTCATTGAGACTCCATCTCCCTTGCTATATTCCCCGATTCATGGTTACGCATTTTACAAAATAATTCCGAACATTAACGGGAGATGCTTGTTGAAGTAGATTTTTGAAGTTAAAGTTAACAAACATATCTACTTAGGGTTAAGGGGAAAGTGAGCTATGTAAAACAATTTGAATTTTTTCATTGTGAAACGGATGATTTATAGCTTCCCCTAGGTTTATAACGTGATATGGAGGCTGGAGTAATTTTCGGGGCATTTTTAGGGTTTTCCTACTATTTATTACCTTTTTTCAAAGATTTTTGCACTAAAAAAGCCAAAATAATTGCAAGAGGACACTTGGCGCGATCTCAGCCCATCAACTTTCACCACTTGCACAAGTGTACGTCAGTCAACATGGCCACATCATTGCCTTTTACCCTAAATTATTATTTTATTACTTTTTCTTAGAAAATTCATAACTAAATACACAAAAATTAGAAAAATGATCCGAAAATTGCTACGAACTCATTGAGACTCCATCTCCCTTGCTAAATTCCCCGATTCATGGTTACGCATTTTACAAAATAATTCCGAACATTAACGGGAGATGCTTGTTGAAGTAAATTTTTGAAGTTAAAGTTAACAAACATATCTACTTAGGGTTAAGGGGAAAGTGAGCTATGTAAAACAATTTGAATTTTTTCATTGTGAAACGGATGATTTATAGCTTCCCCTAGGTTTATCACGTGACATGGAGGCTGGAGTAATTTTCGGGGCATTTTTAGGGTTTTCCTACTATTTATTACATTTTTTCAAAGATTTTTGCACTAAAAAAGCCAAAATAATTCCAAGAGGACACTTGGCACGATCTCAGCCCATCAACTTTCACCACTTGCACAAGTGTACGTCAGTCAACATGGCCACATCATTGCCTTTTACCCTAAATTATTATTTTATTACTTTTTCTTAGAAAATTCATAACTAAATACACAAAAATTAGAAAAATGATCCGAAAATTGCTACGAACTCATTGAGACTCCATCTCCCTTGCTATATTCCCCGATTCATGGTTACGCATTTTACAAAATAATTCCGAACATTAACGGGAGATGCTTGTTGAAGTAGATTTTTGAAGTTAAAGTTAACAAACATATCTACTTAGGGTTAAGGGGAAAGTGAGCTATGTAAAACAATTTGAATTTTTTCATTGTGAAACGGATGATTTATAGCTTCCCCTAGGTTTATAACGTGATATGGAGGCTGGAGTAATTTTCGGGGCATTTTTAGGGTTTTCCTACTATTTATTACCTTTTTTCAAAGATTTTTGCACTAAAAAAGCCAAAATAATTGCAAGAGGACACTTGGCGCGATCTCAGCCCATCAACTTTCACCACTTGCACAAGTGTACGTCAGTCAACATGGCCACATCATTGCCTTTTACCCTAAATTATTATTTTATTACTTTTTCTTAGAAAATTCATAACTAAATACACAAAAATTAGAAAAATGATCCGAAAATTGCTACGAACTCATTGAGACTCCATCTCCCTTGCTAAATTCCCCGATTCATGGTTACGCATTTTACAAAATAATTCCGAACATTAACGGGAGATGCTTGTTGAAGTAGATTTTTGAAGTTAAAGTTAACAAACATATCTACTTAGGGTTAAGGGGAAAGTGAGCTATGTAAAACAATTTGAATTTTTTCATTGTGAAACGGATGATTTATAGCTTCCCCTAGGTTTATAACGTGATATGGAGGCTGGAGTAATTTTCGGGGCATTTTTAGGGTTTTCCTACTATTTATTACCTTTTTTCAAAGATTTTTGCACTAAAAAAGCCAAAATAATTGCAAGAGGACACTTGGCGCGATCTCAGCCCATCAACTTTCACCACTTGCACAAGTGTACGTCAGTCAACATGGCCACATCATTGCCTTTTACCCTAAATTATTATTTATTACTTTTTCTTAGAAAATTCATAACTAAATACACAAAAATTAGAAAAATGATCCGAAAATTGCTACGAACTCATTGAGACTCCATCTCCCTTGCTAAATTCCCCGATTCATGGTTACGCATTTTACAAAATAATTCCGAACATTAACGGGAGATGCTTGTTGAAGTAGTTTTTGAAGTTAAAGTTAACAAACATATCTACTTAGGGTTAAGGGGAAAGTGAGCTATGTAAAACAATTTGAATTTTTTCATTGTGAAACGGATGATTTATAGCTTCCCCTAGGTTTATAACGTGATAGGAGGCTGGAGTAATTTTCGGGGCATTTTTAGGGTTTTCCTACTATTTATTACCTTTTTTCAAAGATTTTTGCACTAAAAAAGCCAAAATAATTGCAAGAGGACACTTGGCGCGATCTCAGCCCATCAACTTTCACCACTTGCACAAGTGTACGTCAGTCAACATGGCCACATCATTGCCTTTTACCCTAAATTATTATTTTATTACTTTTTCTTAGAAAATTCATAACTAAATACACAAAAATTAGAAAAATGATCCGAAAATTGCTACGAACTCATTGAGACTCCATCTCCCTTGCTAAATTCCCCGATTCATGGTTACGCATTTTACAAAATAATTCCGAACATTAACGGGAGATGCTTGTTGAAGTAGTTTTTGAAGTTAAAGTTAACAAACATATCTACTTAGGGTTAAGGGGAAAGTGAGCTATGTAAAACAATTTGAATTTTTTCATTGTGAAACGGATGATTTATAGCTTCCCCTAGGTTTATCACGTGATAGGAGGCTGGAGTAATTTTCGGGGCATTTTTAGGGTTTCCTACTTTATTTTTTTTTTTTTTTTTTTTTTTTTTTTTTTTTTTTTTTTTTTTTTTTTTTTTTTTTTTTTTTTTTTTTTTTTTTTTTTTTTTTTTTTTTTTTTTTTTTTTTTTTTTTTTTTTTTTTTTTTTTTTTTTTTTTTTTTTTTTTTTTTTTTTTTTTTTTTTTTTTTTTTTTTTTTTTTTTTTTTTTTTTTTTTTTTTTTTTTTTTTTTTTTTTTTTTTTTTTTTTTTTTTTTTTTTTTTTTTTTTTTTTTTTTTTTTTTTTTTTTTTTTTTTTTTTTTTTTTTTTTTTTTTTTTTTTTTTTTTTTTTTTTTTTTTTTTTTTTTTTTTTTTTTTTTTTTTTTTTTTTTTTTTTTTTTTTTTTTTTTTTTTTTTTTTTTTTTTTTTTTTTTTTTTTTTTTTATGGTATGTGATGCAGGATGCATAGGACCTAAATTGTTTTAGTTTCCTAATTGATTTGTTAGTTTCCTATATTCTTTAGTTTTCCAAATCCTAGTAGGATTTCTAAGTTAGTTTTCCAAATCCTATTAGGATTTCTAAGTTTCCTATTTTATTAGGAATAGGATTTCTGTTTTACCTGGGGATTTTAATTCTATTCTCTCTAGGTTTTAGTTTGCTATAAATACCCCTATGTAGTTCTTTACAATTCAGATTTGAATATTGATTAAACATTCCTTTTAACTCTCTGATTTCTGCCTGCCTTCTACCTTTTCTTCCCTTCAGCTTTTCTTATCTGTTATGTCTTATTGCTCTAAGTGTTTAAACTAACACACCCAGGGCTGTGCTACATCAGTATGGCATAGGCCTTGACCAAGTGCAGTTAATAATTACAAATTATCCATACTTGCTTTGTGGAGTTGTTTAACCATTGATTGTTTTCTATTTCCAAGAATCACATCCATACTTGCTTTGCGGATAATAAAAGGAAAAAAGAGCAAGTTGGGTGGAAAATTAGAACCAGTTTTAGTGAACGTTGTAAATGGCAAGGTTCCGGCTTGTGGATTGGATTGGCAGAACACGTATAAGGTGTGTAGTTGTATGTTGTTGCAAAAATAAGCATGGGGTGGCTCTAGAGATTGATCTGATTCAGTGTGAAATCAAAGTCTACGATTCAATGGTTTCACTCATTCCAGATCAGAGCTTAAAGGAAGAACTCGGCCCCTGTCAATTACGATTCCAAATCTCTGCACACCCTCGACTTTTATGAAGAAGGTGTTTACGGCAACGAGTGCACCCGAGAGAGTGGTGGTGTCCATGGCCAATACATCGTGTGGATGTTCCACAACAGGCTAAATCAGTGAGCACAAACTTTTATTTAATTTATTACTTTAATTTGTCAATTATGTTAGAATGTCATTAGTTGAATTGATCGAGTTCTTGTTTTGCTTCAGAGGCGATTGTGGTATGTTCGTGTTGAAGTACATTGAGCTGTTGAGTGCTGAGATTCCTTAGCTACTTGCACCTCGCAGAACATGCCATTTTTTCGGTTGAAGTTGGCTGCAGAAATTGCACGGGGAGATGCTTACATGCCATGATATCGGTTGAACTTGGTTTAGGCACATGATGATGAAATAGGTTTTGGGAATGTCAATTTCAAAGTCATGTAAATACACAATAGAGACCCATGGGTCCTTTTCGAATTCCACCTCTGCTCCTGAATTCTTCTTCGTCTTTCTCAATCTTAGTGTATTTGTGTACAGAATTTAGATTTAAGTTACTGGACATAACAATTAGAACCAAAATAGTGGCAAATATTATAGCGGATGCATGCTTTCATTTTGATGAGTGATATTACGCTATGTGTATTCTCATATGTGCAAATGTATATGGAGCTGGTTGCGAGCATAGAAAAATGAAGACTCTGAAATGGAGGATGCTGGAGGGTTGGAGAGGAGAAAAGTAACTGGATTCCTATGGAAATCTATTGCGCGTGGGCAATCTAATGGATAGGCAGATGCGTTTTTGAAGGTTAGACACATGCCATTCCCATACATAGAATGTGCATATGGAGTTAAGAGTTTTTTTTGATGTAATGAAAAAAAACATCGGTTGTAATATTGGCCTAAACATTTCACGACATTTACCTAACCGCAACCAAACTGCATTGAATTGGGATTGAAGATGCATATGTGAAATGGGATTTGAAGAAGCATATTCACAATAGGGGAACTGATGGCTTTTTAAGTGTATTCCATCATTGCAAAGTGATATGTCATCATTTATCCAAGCACCATTCCAAATACAGATCCCAATCTTTAAGCCGTTCAACATGCCTTGAACTAATCGCAATGGGTTGCATCTAATAAGGTAAATTCTGTAAGGGGAATAGGCTGCTATGGCCTCGCCTCCAATATTTTATTCAACCATGCCCTCTTATAGAAACAAATGAAAAAAATGTCCCCAGGTGCAATGTCTAAAAAACTCCTATTGGGTTCCGCAGCCCCTGGGTTTTGATCCCCTCTCATGTTAATTAGGTAATAAATTGGTTGATTTTCTTTATTTTATTGGTTTGGGCAGAAGCTGCGAAACATAACAGTATGTATATTGGTGGTCTATATTGCCCTGTCTGTTGGTGTCTATTGTTGTCTATTGCGTGCATATGTTAACATTATTGGCTCTGTATTGATTTTTGCTTACGACGGAAATAAATAACAATACAACAGGGCAACAGACAAGCAATTATACAGGCCAATAGATATGAAATATACACGCAATAGACATGCATATAAACCAGTCCCCAATTACATTCACACCATAAGGGAAGTGTATGAAAGGAATTTACTTAAGTTGTCTTCCTACGAAAATCAAGAATAAGGACCGTTTCCCCCTCAATTAACTGGATTGGTTGACTTTTGCCCCCAATAAACATGCCATATTGGAGCAATAAACTGGATATACATGCCAGTTAAACACTCAATCAAAACTTTCAATAAAACCTTCAATATAGTTCAATAAAACATGTGAAGAGACAGCAGTTAACAATCAGAAAACCTGCACGAAAAATGAACCATCAATAAACCTTCATAAAACATAAATAGGAGTAATAAATGCGTAATACAGGCAGTTAATGAACCTTAATAAACAGGTCAATCTTCATGCGGTTACAGGCGTAACAATCAATAAACACACACTTATCTCTATATACACTGAATAATTATGCAATCTTAAAAAAAGGTATTGTCTTATTATTGCATCGTATTGGCCCTGTTGTATTGTCATTTTATCGTCTTCGTTATGACTTTATTTTGTTAAAGTAAGTGTAGGAAAGTTTTTTTTACGGTTCTTGACAAGTAATCTTTGGTTTCAAACAATAATTTAACTAAATGCTTAAATCCAAATATTCAAAAACAAAAATATACAAATTGGGTTTGCAAAAAGTCATTGGTGGTGCGTGCAACATGTGTTTGGTGAGAAACTTTTACAATCCTTGAAACGAGTTGCACTTAATGGTCATTAAAAGAACAAATAATATGACAATTGATACAACTAATAAAACTAATACCAAGTCCTTAATGGACAGCATATTAAGCACTGTAGCATCATACGGGTCAGCTTGCTGATCTGCTTCAGCGGAGGTTACATCAACCCATGCGAATCCATTGCAACGGGTGGCTCCCTAATTGCAGGCATCATATATGCAAATAATTCTGTCAGAGTTAGACCTAGGATTTTTTTTCACCCACCAATACATATCTGGAAATGAGAACTTACATAGGAGGTTAGACACTTCCAAAATGCCTTCCCTCGATTTTACTGATTTGAAACCCGAAGGAAAGCGAACCATTGCAGCTCCACAATACTGACACCTCTTTGTTTGAGCGGGGAGATGAAGACGAAGACATGTTGAATCTTATCCACTTGTACCTCTTCTCACTCAGATCTTTCACTCACTAAAACCTCTTCGGACTCATACCTTCAGTTATACCCCGTCACTCATAAGTCATAACCTAAACTTCCTCACTCAGCTCTCTCTCCTCTCTCCCAAATCGAATTATATCCTTCTTTTCTGTGTGTGGGTGGGTTGGCACGATCTGGACCACCTGTACCGTCAGAATTGTGGACACATTTTACTCCGATAAGCGATATACTTTTACACAATAATTAATCTTACAATTGAGGGGACACGGCTTTCAATATCATATTTTCTTTATATTGATTAGGCAACTAGTTGGATAAGAATCCGTCCTTATAATAGGGGTAGTGTGGTGGGGAAAATGATACAAAGTATCGATGGACCTTCTGTGTCACTAGTCAGTAATCCATCACATTTGTATCAATGAATTTAATGGCTGGAAAAGCCTAACAATGGCTGGAATGGTTATAATTGACTTGTGAGTCTGACTCCTTGCATTTGATGACGTTTTCCGTCGCCTGTCTTATTTTTGGGTGTGAGTTCAGTTCTTTTAAAAAGTGTCAACTTGGTAAAACCCCAAGGAAACACCTTTTCAGAACAGTGGCAACCAGAGGCTAAAACAAACCCAAACCCGTATATTATCATTTCTCTCCCTCTTGCAGTCCCAAATCGTATCCATTCCAAAAATTTTCAATGAAATTCAAAACATTACACTACAGTCGAGGAAAGAGAAGGAGCAAGCAAGCGTCATCCTCCGATGGCCTCAAGCCTTCCTCCCCGGAATTAGCTTGGTTTAAAGTGATGTTTACGTCGTGCCACCCAATCCCATCGTAAGATCTCTTTCTGTATGGCATGTGTGTGCCCGATTGTTCCACACGTTGGCGAACACTCACAAGTGTGGAACAATTTCAATGGAAAGTACCAAGACCATCCTAACTGGTACTATGCCGCAGCGCCGGTCGGCTTTCGGGACCAATGCAGCGCTGCCAGAACACCTGAGGCGAATTTAGAGAAGGTTCGAATGTTTTCAGGCAGTGGTATGTGGAGGCATGTCTGGATGCGCGTTGCAACCACGAAAGGCATATGGAAAGCGTCATTTCTAGTTGGATACTTGGCTGTCCCCCGGAATTGGTTCAGTCAAAAGAGAGGGGATTTAATGCATTTAGAATGCGGATATTTGCAACTGCATTAGAAAATGTCTTTTGTTCTTTGAATAAACTTACAAACATATGATATGAAGGAACCCGGGAATGTTTTGAGACGACGATTTTTTAAGCGGAAATTTTCTCCGCTGTGGAAGACATACGTAGAGATGTTTCACATATGGGAAGATTAGTTCAATCAGCAGTTGCAGCGCTTGTAACAAACAACGACTGGTGTTTTGTTTTTCCAGGCCTGTGGTGTGGGCCGGCCTCCTTCGTGACAAGGGAAGGAAACAGACAAAAGACGAGAAAAGATTCACAATCCCTGACTTTCAATGGACTTGTTGCACACATCGATGTGCAAAACTAAAAATGGCACCCGTTGAGAGAGAGTTTTGAGTTTTGGGAGGAAGTGTTATTGGTTGTGAGAGTGTTTATACGAGAGTTTGCTGTGAGAGTGTTTTTTGTTTTTGCAAGGTGATGCGTTGTGTTCTTTTTTGTCTATGTGGCAGGGAAGTCCATACCCTTACAATACCCTATAAAATTAGTTGTTGGGGGTATTTTCTATTTTTTGTTTTATTCGTGTCTATGTTCTACACATGTGTGTTCTAATGTCATGTTTTTTGAATCTATTGTGTGGGGTGTTGGTGCCGTTGTCCTAGCCTTTTGTATATTAGAAATGGTATTAGATTAAGAGGCATCTGCTATCACGTGGAATTATTTACTAGCCGATATTATTGACGGCTAAGAATGACATTTTACTGACACAGATATTTTGCAACACTAGCAATCTTAATATTTGGGTAAACGAAAACGCATGCATGAAGTGAGTATGTGTCTTTTCACCGGTTCTTGGGAATGACATTTTCCCACTTAGCATATCCCCAAATGATTGGGTTACACGTTTCTTAAGCAAAACTTGAACAGTTAAAGACTTTGAATAATTATTTCCTGATGTTGTAGAATGGATGGCTTGTATATTCCATTTTATGTTTGAAAACATCCCTTACCTAAAAAAAGAAAAAAACATTAACAAATTGAAAGAAGAGAGAAACTGATTAGCACCAGAAAATGGTTATTCACACGGAAAATAAAAATAAAATTAAAAATTTGGAGTAAATATAATTAACAAATGTACAAGCTAACAAGTAATAAACAATAAATAATAAAAATAATTTTGGATAAATAATAATAAAATACTAATGTAGCGTAACCCATGAAACAGGGAATTGAGGAGGAAGATGAGATGTCAATGAGGTCGTAGCAATTTTCGGAACATTATTTGTGATTTTGTGTATTTAGTTATGAAATTTCTAAGAAAAAAGTCATAAAATAATAATTTAGGGTAAAAGGTAAGGATGTGGCCATGTTGGACTGACGCACACTTGTCAAGGGTGAAAGGTGAGGGGCTGAGATCGAGCCAGGTGTCCATGTGGCAATTATTTTGGCTTTTTTAGTGCAAAAATCTTTGAAAAAATGCAATAAAATAGTAGAAAAATCCTAAAAATGCCCGGAAAAATACTCCGGCCTCCGTGTGACGTATTATAAACGAGGGGAACCCATAGATCATCCATTTCGCAATTAAAAATTCAAAAATGATTTACATAACTCACTTTCCTCTTAACCCTAAGTATATTATGTTGTTCACTTTAACTTCAATAACCTACTTCAACAAGCATCTCCCGTTAATGTTCGGAATTGTTTTTTAAAATGCGTAACCACTAATCGGGGAATTCAGCAAGGGAGATGGAGTGTCAATGAGGTCGTAGCAATTTTCGGAACATTATTGTGATTTTTGTGTATTTAGTTATGAATTTTCTAAGAAAAAGTCATAAAATAATAATTTAGGGTAAAAGGTAAGGATGTGGCCATGTTGACTGACGCACACCTTGTCAAGGGGTGAAAAGGTGAGGGGCTGAGATCGCGCCAGGTGTCCATGTGGCAATTATTTTGGCTTTTTTAGTGCAAAAATCTTTGAAAAAATGCAATAAATAGTAGAAAAATCCTAAAAATGCCCCGAAAAATACTCCGGCCTCCGTGTGACGTTATAAAACGAGGGGAACCCATAGATCATCCATTTCGCAATTAAAAATTCAAAAATGATTTACATAACTCACTTTCCTCTTAACCCTAAGTATATATGTTGTTCACTTTAACTTCAATAACCTACTTCAAACAAGCATCTCCCGTTAATGTTCGGAATTGTTTTTTAAATGGTAACCACTAATCGGGGAATTCAGCAAGGAGATGGAGTGTCAATGAGGTCGTAGCAATTTTCGGAACATTATTGTGATTTTTGTGTATTTAGTTATGAATTTTCTAAGAAAAAGTCATAAAATAATAATTTAGGGTAAAAGTAAGGATGTGGCCATGTTGACTGACGCACACCTGTCAAGGGGTGAAAGGTGAGGGGCTGAGATCGCGCCAGGTGTCCATGTGGCAATTATTTTGGCTTTTTTAGTGCAAAAATATTTGAAAAAATGCAATAAATAGTAGAAAAATCCTAAAAATGCCCCGAAAAATACTCCGGCCTCCGTGTGACGTTATAAAACGAGGGGAACCCATAGATCATCCATTTCGCAATTAAAAATTCAAAAATGATTTACATAATCACTTTCCTCTTAACCCTAAGTATATATGTTGTTCACTTTAACAAGTATATTTCCTTAATATTCGTTATATAATTTGTACTAATACAAGAATTAGTTTCCTTTCATATATAAGGATGTAAAATTATCTGTTTTGGTTAATAATAATATATAATAAATGCATGCACAATGGAAGCCATAATGGAACACATGCGCGCGCGATGCGCCTAGAGCTTTGAAGAAGTCAGATATAGTCAATAAGTTGTCCATATGCACCTGCACCTAGAGTTTTCAACACGTCGGCGGTATTCAATAAGTTGTCCTTATGACGCCGCATTGGGAATCAGTAATATATTTTCTATCATGTCCAATCGCATAAACATATAATATAAAGAAATAAAGCAATAGTAGGAGATGAACCAGTACAAAAAACAATATATAAACTGGTACAAAATAATGCCATAAACCTTGTCACAAAACCAGTCACACATGCTTTCCATAAACCTTACCCTAAATATAATACATAACAGGCAACATTGCAATGATGCAACCCATGTCCAAATTGATACGTGATCACAAAAAAAAAAATGGACATGGCCAAGCAACATATGATGAAGTAGATGGGCACTTTGCATCGTGTTATCGTAATTAAAGACATGAAAATATGAAGTGTAATGAAATCTTATATAGTAGTAAGCACTACAAAATAGTTTGAGCAGCAGCTTAACGAAAAATTCCAGTTCCTCTGATATGCCTCTACTCAAACACGATAACCAAAATGGTCACTTCTAGCGAGTATATATGTGTTAACGTCGGAAACGGTAATAGAGGACCACCAATCAAAACAGGCGTACGCCGAGATTTGCATAGGACCGGAAGTAGTCGAATCCAGCTTGCATCCACGACTTCTTTGACTACCTTTGCATTAGATATGAGTTCTTGATTTTGAACAGCTACACTCCAAAGTCGTTTGTGGTCTACGCTTATGCTGCTGCAACTTCGCCCTATCCAGATTGGCCTGCCTTGTGTCATCTTCAATTTGGCCTTCAACAAATTGCAAACGACCATTGCCTTTGATCTTCATCACCAAGTTGAAAGATGCTCCTCCTTCAGAAAGCAGAACTCTTCAGACCCAAAAAACTCCAAACAAAATGGTCATTCTGTAGGAAAGTGGACATGTTGTATGGTGGAACTCACTTGCGTTTCGAAGGCCCGGCCCCTCCGGCTGTGTCTTGGCCCCCCACCGGCGGTGTTTATAATGATACACCAAATGGGTTAGTAAATCCTTCAAATGGGGGGAGAGAGTTTTTGTGGGGAGAGAGTTTTCAGTAGATGGAGCACATTTCGGGGAGGAGGTGAGTTTTTGTGGAGGGAGAATTTTGATGAAGGGGTGATTTAGTGAACCCAATAAAAAAAGGTTCCCGCCAAAAAAAAAAACATGGTGGGAAAATGTATAAATGAAAAAAAAGGTCTCGACAAGCTAGTTTCATCCTAACTAGTTTGTTTGTTGGTTGGGTTACTACTAGATGTACTTCCATTAGTTTCTTTCAACCACTAACAGTGGTTGTAAGGAGAGTGTGAGGTTGACAGGCTTTGAAAAGCAAACGTACACTGTTTTTTTAAAATTGAAAAAATAAAGATAATTATGTGACTACACGCAAGCTTTGGTCGTGTGGTCTATAAAGCATGTTCCATTTCTCAAACGAAATTGCATCTGCAATATCATCCTCCAAAACAAATAGGATTATTCAAGTATGTCAACCTCTTCAGCGCCAACCAACAAACGAAAGATTTGAAAAAATGGGAGTCGCAGGTTCCGTTTCCACGTTGTACTCGCCGGACCCCCCTTACATTTCAACCATCATTTTGGGGTGAGGGGGCTCCGATGTCCATTAGACGGCAATAGAGGCAGATCAGGACCAAGGCTGGATTATAATTCCAGCCTGCTCAAATTCAGGCAACGAGAAACGTGTGAGCGAGGCATTTTGGGATCGACTGATCTTAACATTAGCGTGAAAATAGCGTTCTACCAAAAAGAACAAAGTAATTGAAGTGAGTCATAAAAGGAAAGCGGAAAGATGAGGAGTGGATGCAGTAATGAATGATGAAATTAAAGGTGTTTGAGAACCATATGCCGATACGAGAGACCACAGTGAATGGAGTTGGCATAACGAAGGATCGAAAAATTCGCAGAGCATTAGCCCCGGCAACCAACTAATAAGGTATAATTGGGGACTATGTCTTCCCTGATGTGTGAGAGAGATACGTAGACGATCGGTGGAGACTATGAATGAGCAAAGACGTAAAGTCTCGGAAGAAGCCGACGATACGATTAAGTGATTGCGGCTTCCAGCTTGGTTGTTGTTGGGGGTGGGGTGTATCGTGGATGCAAAATTAGAACTAGTTCCCTTAAGTCATCACCTAATATAAATAATACAAAATCAGTTTTCATTTGCTTCTTA